TTGTTTGTTTGTTTTTTAATGTGTCATTGGAACTGTTTTTTGTTCACTTTTTTTTTTTTTTTTTTATCGATACCAGGGATCGAACTCACAACCGCCTGCTTGCAAGGCAGATTCTTATGCCACAGAGCTAAATCCCCAGCCCCTGCTGTTTGTATTTGTATTAACATTCTGGTCTTCTGAGCTTTGACCAGTATTCCTCCATAAGCTCTGCTTATAGCATCTTACAGTGTCCAAACTTCTCCACAGGCTTCTGAATCACACTGATAGGTACAATCACAGCAGAGGCTCCACTTCTCTAGTATGAGCTAGTACTAATTAGTTTCTGTGTTAGATTTTCCTACTGCTGGACCCAATATCTGATACCCACAATTTAAAGGAGGAGAAGTTGAATTTGGCGCATGATTCAGTCTGTTTGGCTGACTTCGCAGCAGAAATATCATAAGTAAAGGTCATGGTGGTCAAAGATGCTTAGTCCATGGTGGCCAGGAAGAGGAACAGGAGAAGTGCCAGAGCAGAAGGGGTGAGAGACTAGACACAGACACCAAGGCCTCATTTCTATGACCCACCTGGATATACCTGGAAATGTGCTCCATCAGTCCCCATGATAGATCTCAAAACCCAATCTAGTGGAAACTTTAGAGCCAAACGTATGAGTAGAAAGTAAGTATTTCAAGGAGCAGGGTGTGCAGTGGGAGAGAATAGGAAGATGTTGGTTTGGTTAAGGTACGAGTTTCGTTGTTGGGAGCCGCGGCCGAGCCCGGTCGCCTTACTTGGCGGACGTGAGGCCTGTAGGAAAGAGCAAAGCCTGAGCTAGATTACCCCTCCCATCGAGTGTGCTAAGATGGCGCTTATCTCCTGCTTCTTGCTTGGTAAACAACCCGCCCTGTAAGATCTCCTGCTTCCTGCTTGGTAAACAACCCGCCCTGTAAGATCTCCTGCTTCACAACCCGCCCTGTAAGATAGTCTGCCTAGCAACAACTGATGTTAGCCAATCAGCCCGCATCGCGCGCTTTGAACTGATTGGCCACTGTAACCCTATAAAAGTGAGTGCCTCTCCCGCCACGAAAAAAGAAGCAGAAGAAGCACGCAAGGAGCCGCGGAGAGTGGACCGGTAGAGGCTTCGGGACAGACTGTAGGGAGAAGCACGCAAGGAGCCGCGGGGAGCGGACCAACAGAGGCTTCGGCCGGGAGGATTCCCGGGGCAGGCTGTACGGAGAAGGAGAATAAAGAAAAGGTTGTCCACTGCCAGACTTTGTTGTGTGTCCTTCCTGCCAGCCGGGAGTGACACCGACATTTCGTTATGGTATACCATGAATAAATTTACAGATCTAATCGTTCAGCATGGTGACATAGTAGTGTTGTATTACATACTGAACATTTGCTTGCTCAAAGTGAAGATTTTAGGTGCACAAAGACAATTATGCCAGTTAACTTTAATTGTCAGCATGACTGGATTTAGTGGAACAGAGATGGGATCATGAAGGAACAATACAAATCAGAAGATTAATTCACTGGGTGATCATTGATGAACGTTCTGTTAGCAGTTGGGGCTCAGTTGGAGGACAATGGTCACTGGGGAATGTTTTTGGGAGTATGTTTATCACTACCAAATTCTCTGCTTCCTGGCTATCATGAAGTGAGCAGCCTTGCTCTGCCATGCCTTCTACTATGATATTTCTACTTGGGAAAAAAAAAAGAAGAAGAAAAGAAAAAGTACCCTCTTCCTCCCTGTTACTCTCTGTCTCTCTCTCCTTTTGACTGTCATGGAATGGGCATGTTTCTTCTGCCATGACCTACCACCATGATCTTTTTCCCTTGCTCTAGGCCTGGAAGTAACTGACAACGGACTAAATGGTGTGCCAAATTAAATCTCTCCACCTTTATGTTGATGGTGTCATGTTCTAGAACTAGGAAAGCTGAATTATTCATTATGTAAGGCGATCTATACCCTAATTTGTTTGACTTTCCTAATCATTTCACTATATATATGCTTATAGAAACATTGTGTTGTACATCACACACATAAACAATAAAAACAAGTGGAGATAAAAATCAATAACTAGACAATGATAATAGAATAGGCTGGCACACAAGTAACATTTCAGTGTAATGTTTTAATACAAATAAGAAAATGCATCACTAGAGAGCATCAAATCAATTCTTCTCAGTTACAAATAAATGTGACAGAGAAATGAATCAACATAAAATAATCAATAACTACTGTATGTTTGAGACAGAAATATTTTAAACTGGCTTTATATCCACAAGCCTTCAGAATTTAAAGGAGTAATTCACATCATTATCTTCCTCTAATGGTTATAACTGGTTTAATAGTTACCAAAAATAAACAAAAACAGTTAACATTTCCCATTTGATGTATTACCACTCTAAATTTCATTTACCAAGCTAGCTGTACATTTGATAAATTTACAGTGAATGGGACTGAATATCCATAAAACACACTTAAATTTTACAAAATAGTCTATAGATCCTATAGAAAAGCTTACGAACTGCAGTTGAGATGTTTATAACACATCAGTCAAAAATAGTTGCTCACTTGCTTGTATGTTTCATTATATGCATCATCTATTGTATTAAAATCTTACTTCTTACTATAGTTGCCCACAGTTTTCTAAAAATCTAATGAAAGCTACAAACAGTGCCACAAAAAATGAGCATAGTTAGGACAGTTTGTGTTTCATTTTATTTCTTAAGTGTTATAAACTCTATTATGTCCATCCTAAGACTTTAGCAGTAAAGCAATCTCTTATTTGTATCCCACCAAATCAGAGATGTACCTATTTGCTAAATTTATAAAATGTGACTTGCTTAACATAACAAACCTGGAGGTAATATAATTAGGGTCCAATTCAAATTTGACTAGACAAAATAATCAAAGACTTATTGAAGACAAGGGTATTATTTTAACACATTCATATTTCTGTACCACTATATAGATGATCAGATAAACTGTTTTATAATTCTGGATATGAACAGGTACTTATAAAGAAAACAGTGGAAATTCAGTGATTTTTAAAATTGAAAGCAAATTGAATTTTTTAATATTGGAATTTTTAATATTGGAGAAGTAAACACAGGCAATATGTTTTGATAGCAGAGAATGCAATATACAACTTCCTTAAATAATGCTGTTATTTCTGTATAAATGAAGAGTTGTGAAATTAAAATCAGATATAGTACTTTTAGTATTATTTTCACCTGAATTTAAATTACATGCCAGTCAATAGTAATGTAATTGGAAACAGCCTCACTGGAAGGAATGCACTTTTTTATTTCAAGGAATTAGTTTCGCATATTTAAAATTCAAAAAATTTAAGTATTTATTTTTTAAAATATGGAACTTCTTTTTTCCAAGGTTGCTTTTTGACATACTATTTAAATGGAAATTGTAGAGGGAAACACCAATAAATTTTAGAAAGTGTAGGAAAGTATTAAGATTGGAAAAATACTATATGATTCACTATAACAATATAATGTAATATGAGATTTTATGAGGAAAATTTGTAAGGACAAGTGTTTTCCTGGCATATTTGTGGGATACATTGGTACTTCAATTGTTTTTTCCAAAAGACAGAGATTGAATTTCATTTGAATCACTACAATGGATTTGAGAGTGAGTGATTCATTGACTTGAGTTGTTCATTCAGTAAATACTTGCAAACACACAATATGCCATACACTGTAAAAATATACAAATACAGGTGAACAAAAACCCAGTTTGAGCCTCAATGAGGTTACAGTCTGTGAAAGTAGAATGTTACATATAGACTTAGGATGAAACATAAAGTTTATGAAGGCAGCAATTACAGAATGTAGAATATTATGTGAGAACACATAGCTCTCACTGTTACAGGTATGAGTACCTTTGTCTTCTTTCTTGAAAGAGAACTTCAGTCAGGAGATGAAAGCAAATAAAACCTCCAAACTCTTCTCTAAGGTAATATTTTCATCCTACAGCTGCCAAGTAGTCATTAAAATCTGAACAAATCGTGAAAGTTCTAAACAGAAGACAGTAATTGGGGTTTCGTTCTAGCGGTCTGGCATTGTGGAAGTGACTACTGACACATGCTCTGCATATTTCCACATGCTTAAGTATTCATGCGAAAATCTCTCCACCTATGGAAGTCAATGGTTAAGGTTTAAGAAGTTCTGTTGAAAGTACTCAGCTTTATTCTATAAAAACTACATATAGAGAGTTTAGTCTTCCTTGTGAGTCATAAAAGGAGATTCGCTCCCTCCATTTTAACCTATGTATTTCTCCCCCACTGGCATATTTTCTTTCCCTCTTCTTCCTCTGCCTGTGCCTCCTCTCCCCACAGTGGTGGCTTCAGTGTCAGTCACCCACATTTTGAAAGAGAATTGCATTTTAAGAAGTGAAAGTGATTTTGACCTCCCCTTTAGGAAAGGATGGAGAAGCAAAGTGTAGTGCATGCCTGCTCTGGGTGGGGGTTGAGAGAGGAAGAAATTTGGCATTTTAAAGGCAATAGCTTGGCAAATCCCTTGATTGCTGCGTGGGGCTGGAACTCACTTCCCAACAGTTTGGTGACAGTCACCCCAGGGAGTTGTAGCCCTGTAATCTAGAAGTGTCTCTTGTGTCTTTGCAAACCGCCTCCTCACTCATCTTTTAGCAACTGAGGGAAAGCGTCTCAGACTTGGCTCCTGTTCTCACCAATGCGCCCCTCTCGCTCCTAAGCCCAGCGATCCCGCCCTGCCCTCTCTCCACGTCCAGCCTGACAATGGGCACAAATGGCTTCTCATACAACCGAACCAGAGAACTCCGCTGGAGAGATCCGGGAGGGAGGGGTCCAGGAGGGGGCCCGGGAAGCCTGCAGCTGCAGTGGTGGGCGACCTCTTTGGGGCTGGAGGTTTGAGGGGAAGCAGGCGCGAAGGATCCAGGTCCTGGTGCCCAGAGTTACAGGTTGGAACAAACTTGTCTAGCTCTGAGGCGCAGGCGCGCCGAGTCAACCCCAGACCCTCGCGGGTGCGGGCACGAAAGGGTGCAGCGCAGTATACATAGCTCTACATACACACAGAACGCCGAGCGAGAAAAGGAGGGGGCGAGGAAAGGCAGGTTCCGCCTCCCCTGGCCCGCGTGCACACACACGCCCACCGCGGCTCAGGCTGGCGGAGCGCGGGCGAGTGTGAGCGCGGGCGAGTGTGAGCGCGAGTGTGCGCACGCCGCGGGAGCCACTCTGCCCTCACCTCGCACCCTGCTCAGGGCATCTTGAGAGCCTGGAACCGTGAACAGGCTTAAAGTATGGCATGTTGCAAAGATGGTTTCTGCCAAGAAGGTACCCGCGATCGCGCTGTGCCTCGGGGTCAGTTTCGCCCTCCTGCGCTCCCTGTGCCTGGCTGCCTGGTGAGTCCTCGGGGGTCCTGGGGGGCTAGGGAAGGCGGAGAAGCGGCCAGTTCCCCGCCCCTTCTGACCACCTACCCCTCCTGGAGCGAAGCAGACCTTCCTATTCTCACTACAACATTATGGGCTGAAGCCAAGGTTTGCCGTGACTATGTAGAGCCCAAGACGACTGTGGGTATTGGGGTGCATGCTGCCTGGCTCAGGGATGCGCTTTTCTGGACCATTTTGGTCTTCGGCCCTCCCCCTCCCCCCACCAAGCTACCTCTAGCTTAGGGCAAAGGACTCTTTCCCTAGAAGGCAAACCTGTTTCCACCTGTTCTCAGATGCTTTCTTAAAATAATCCTTTCCGCCTACCTCCGTTTCTCTGTGTGCGCTTACAGTTTAAACGAATCCCCGGGACAGAACGAAAAGGAGGAGAAATTGTGCCCGGAAAATTTTACCCGCATCCTGGACAGTTTGCTCGATGGTTATGACAACAGGCTGCGTCCTGGATTTGGGGGTAGGACTGCTTCAAAGGCACAAGTGTGTCCTGTCTGTCCCTCTCTGCTCCACCTGTCTGTCTGTGGGAATATCTGTAGGTATACCTTGCGTGCAGAAATGAAGGTTCCCCTCTCCTCATCCCTCTCTTCCTCTCTCCTCTCCCCCTTACTGAGACCTATGACAATGAGGCCGCCCCCACCCGTCCTTTCCCATCTCCCTGCCCCTCAGGAGCTTTGCGTCTCCCCCACACTAATTACCTCCCGGGACCTGCAGGGTGGGGGAGGATAGGGAGGAGGCAGAGTCAAAAATGGGAACTGGGTGCTTAGCCACCACCACCCTGCTGCCCTGCGCCCTGAGAATGGAGTTTTCCTTAACCTGGTCCCTTTGCCCAGAATGGGTTGCACTAGAGGCAGCTCATCTGAGCTCCTCTGTCTTTCCACGTGTTACTTCTTCAGCCAAGAGTTTGGCCTGCCAAAAGCTGTACCTAGGACAGGAATCTGGGGCACGAAGCTGCCTCCCTGGTAGGAAACCCAGACCTTTCCTGTTCTGTTCTTGTTCACTTTCTTTGGGGAGGTGGCAGTTGTTTCCCTCTTAGGCCTTGGGAGTCAGGAGTGTTCAGTTCATCTCTTTCAACAAATAGGAGAGAACAACAGAGAATGATTCATTACCAGTACTGTCGCTCTCCTAGTCACATTCCTTTGCATCTATAATAGAACCAATTGTGGAAAGCTTTGTACTAGGCATTAAAGTCTCAGAAATCTTAAGATATACTTCCTCACCTCAAACAGCCTCTGGATTAGTTCAGTGAGAACAAGTGATTTGCTGGGATCTTGATAGGATTGGTCCACATCCTCTCATGGGAAGGTCCCTTGTTGCTTCTTATTGCACTGATCTTTCTCACTTTCAGCAAATGCACTGAGAAAAGACATAGACACTATCTTAAAGAAGTTGATATTCTTGGAACATCAGTAGTAGTAACAATAATGAAAACCACTAATATTTTTATTTCACCAAATTTTCATTTAAACGTGGCAATTTTACAGGCATTACTCAAACTCTTACAAGTCCAAAAGAAAGCCATTACATTCCTTATTTTACAAATGAAGAAATCAAGGCTTGGGAAGTTAAATAACCTGATCAAGTTCACAGCAGGAATACACGGCAGGAGCAGGAGGTGAACCCATCCTTGGGTTGTGTATTTAAAAGACAGAATCATATAGATCAGGATGGCATCAGATATTATGTGATGTGATGAGTATTGTAAAATATTGGAAGCAAAGAAATGTTTAACGCTTCCTATTGAAAGTGTATACAAGAGAGAGAGTGGGAGAATGGACAAAGTAAATAATTGGAAAGTTCCAGCATAGAAAGAGTCATTGGAGATAAAGTAAGAGTTTGAGCAAGAAGTATATGCCTACCTAGTGTCCTTGATGAGGACACTAGGATGAGAAAGGATTCAGACAAGGACACGTAGCATGTAAGTGATAACCTGGGATCCGCTCTTCTGAATTCCAATCCATTTTGTTCTGGACTTTGTTGAAAAAGTTATGGGAAGCCAGTGAGATATGAAGCATTGGTGAGCTGACAGTGATGAAGATGGGTGAGAATTGCCACTCTGGGGTTAGGCTGCACACATGACATTTGCTTTCATGCAAATCTGAAAGCTACTTCATTAGAGAAGTGAATCATTTGTCAGTGCATGATCTTTTTTGAGTGACTGGGAGATTGTTATTTTAGATCAAAAATCATTTTATGGAGAATGCTTCAGATGATATGATACCATTTAAGACTATGTGAATAAAAGAGATTTTAACTGTCCAGAGAGATTTTTAAGCCTGACATTTCAAGAAACAAATATTTTTGAAGTATCTACTCCTAAGTAGTTTAAATATTCAACAGAACATTGATATTCCTGAACATAAATGAAAGGAAAAGGTTATAAATGGAAAAATATGATTTTTATTTTTAAATGTTGAAAGTTAAAATCATATTTGCCCATTTGGTTATAAAGCAAATTATAATTCAAAAGGACAATGGGACCCATTATAGACGGATCTTTTTTTTTTTTTTTTAACCATATACTATGTCCCATTACACGTACAATAAGTTGAGTGAAAATAATCTGTGTAAGCCATTCCTGGATTTTGGTTAACTATAATATAGCTCTCTCCAGGTCATTATTAGCCATCTTATTTGCTAAGTAATCTGTACTAACTCATGTGGAGATGCTTTCAAAAGTTTGTGTGTTGAATCTACCCTCTTTGAGGGTTAGCAATTGATTAATTCTTAAAAATTTACTATTCAACGCAGCTTAAGGGCTTTGTGTGGTGTGTGTGTATATGTGTGTGTGTGTGTGTGTGTGTGTGTGTGTGTGCGCGAGAGCATGTGCGAGTGGGTATATGTGTGTGTCACTGCTCATAAATATTTGTGTTAGATGTGTTTCACTTTTAAGAGTTGGGTCATTCTGTAAATTTATAGTATCCAAATGGGACAGAGGAACAATAATTATCACCTGCAGGAATGTATTATCTGTTTATGTGAAATTATGAATATGCTCCACCAAAAATAATAAGAAATCTCATTGATACAGACGCCCGGTGCTGCAAGTTTGATTCCTTCTGTGACATTTTATATTTTCCAGAAAGTCTGGCGTTTTAAAACCAAGGTGAAAACAATTTAGATTTTTGCTGGTACATTATAAATATGGATAGACTTCCTGGTTCCTTTAATCCTGCTTCTACTCTTTGTGGAACATTTACTTTTTATCTGTTTATACAAGTTTGCTGTGTTCCATTTAAAATAAAGCTAAAAGCAAAGATTTGAATTGAAATTGGATGGTTTGTGACTGCTCAGTAGGCCAGGCAGGGGTTGAAATAGATTTGGAAGCTAAATTACATATTTTTAACTCAGCAGCACAGCTTGCAATGAGAAAGTAAAAGGAAGTGCTATGGTTCTCTTCTTTTCATCCCTCTGGGATGTCCTCTCCCTGGTCTCCACATTGTCCTGTTGGGGCAGGAAAGGAGAAAAGGTGAGAAGAGAGGGAAGGGGCATGTGGAGAGAGGCTGGGATGGACTTCTGAAGGGGAGAGGTTCTGTCAGCCTCTGATGAATCAGTTCCTATCACGCTGAATCAGTTCCTGTCATCCCGAAGTAGCCGGCACCTGCTTAGAAGTGGCACACAAGTGAACCCTTCCAAAAGAAGCTAAAAAGTCATCCTTTATGGATCTTGCCCACTTTCAATACTGGAATATGCCTTCATAAAAATGCATAGCTGAGTATTAATTGCTGGAAGATGCTTTAGGGATCTTGCTCTTACAGTTTTTCCATTTATTGTGTGGTTGTGTAGCCTTGTGTCTTGGTTTGTATTTGTCACTGAGATACAGTAACTTACCCCTGCAATTTAAGGCTAGGGAGATTTATTTGTGTCAGAATCTTTAGAAGTTTTACAAAGCTTCTTATGCCATGGGAAAAGGGAGGAGTTAAAGAGAGACATCCTGCCAGGTCAGGCACTCCAAGTGACCTGCTCCAGGACCAGACCCACAACTTAACAGCAAGTTATATGTAGTTCCCCCATCATCCAATTGCCATTTGCTAACCCTATCTCTGAGACCATGAGGCTTTGGACAAATATCTAGATATAAATCATGACACCTTATGTACGTCTCATCTTTGGAAGCACATGATCTGGAATTAGACATGCTTCAAATATAAATGGCTTCTTTGGATCATCTTCCACAGTGTTTCTGGAATAGTAACAGAGCAGAGTAAGACTCCTCACTAATTTAGTAGATAGGACTTCACATTAGTTGGGATTGCTGCAGTTTTGAAAGCATCTTCATATATAATATTTAATACGATTATCACATACACATAAAGAGATAAGCAGAGGGAATCATCTCTTTGTTGATGGAGAGGTGGGAATTGCTCTGGGGCCATACAGCTGGCTCTGGGGCCATACAGTGAAAGGGTCACAGCTCATATCCAGATCTTTAAATTCTTAGTCACACAAATGGTCTATTGTTATGACCACTTCTGGGGGTACTTTGCATCATTTTGTTTATCATGAGACAACTTTTTCTAAACAAACCCTTTTGTTTAGAATCCTGGAATCAAGGCCTTGCACATGCTAGGCAAGCACTCTATCACTGAGCTACAACCCTAAACCTGAGCAAGTCCTTGAAATAAGCAAAACTATGGTTCTCTAAAGAGTGAAATGAAAAATTTATTTCAAATCTGTAATAACATTTAAAATTACACAAGTAAATGTGAGAACTTGCATTCATTAGGTTTAACTGGGAATATTTCATGCAAATCAAATTGTGCTTGCAATGTTTGCAAATGATTATATATATATTTCAATCTGAAAATTAAGCCTCTGTTACATGATAGCTCTCATTACTTGATATCAATGGAGAATATAGTTTTAAAAATGCATAATAAACATTTTTAATCCACAGAGAGATAAAGCTTTCTTTTTTGCTTTGTCATATTGATTTATTGACTCAATTGTTTAACCAGTACATTGAGAACTTATTTTATACTAGCAACAATAGGAGGTTTTCAAGATACATACTGCCCTCACATAGAGCCTTTTTTACAACTAAGTAGTGTGGAGAGGTAAGAATAACAAAGAAATAAATAAAGCAATTAAATAAAAATTCTGTAGGGTAATCTGATAGCATCCAAAAGAGAGAACTGAGTGAGGAATTTATTTCACATAGGAATGAGGAATGAAGATGTCTTTCGGGTTGAGACCTAAAGGTACCAGACATAAAAAGAGTAAGAGTAAATGTTATTTTCAGGTAGAAGAAATACAAACAGCAAGTTCAAAAATCCAAAATTAGTGTGGTTTATGCAGTGAAGCATTATTTGGCATGCATGTATCCAGAAAACAAAAGCAGACTCTTACAAAATTAGACCGAGACAGCAAGCAGAGCCAAGATCATCTAAGGTCTTTATGGATCCCTATAGGAGATTAGATTGTTCTGCTGGTGAATTTGGAAATCTTGGAGGCTTCATG